ACTCTGCTCTGTGGTCACAGAGAATGCGAGCAGACAGTCCCTGCTCCAGCCTGGATCCACACCCACCCCAGCACTCCCATCCACATGGTGATTCACACGACAGTGGCAGGGAAACGTCGGATTCTGTCACACCAGAGTGAAAAGTGACCTGACGAGGCATAACCTGTGTGGCATACCTTCAAACTGCGTTTGGGAGGGAGCATGGGTTGTCAAAGGTGCTTAAGGTGCTCAGCTGACACACACTGGAGATCTGAGGGAAACAAAAACAGCCAGGAAAAAAGTGTGGCTCCCTGGAGGTCCTGCATGGCTGCTGGTGCCAGTCACTGCTGGCCCTGCACCAGCACCCTCCCATTGCTGCCCACTCTGACACAGCTCTTGTGGAGGGAGAGGTGAGGCTGACACTGAGGTGGCAATACCCAGCCCTCCAGGAACACAGCTCCTGCACCTCCCTGCATCCCCCATCACCTCCAGTGCTTCCTGGGAGCCACATGCCCACCCATGGTCACCATGGCTGGCGCTGGGCCCAGCATCCTCTGCCCTCCCACCCTTGCCATGGCCAAGCTGGGCCAAGGTGAGGATGTGATACTGAAGTGATCATGCAAGTGGTGATGGTGAGCGGGGGCTCAACACCCACCTCCTGACACAGCACCTCCCCAGCTGCCTGCTCACACAGCCATGGCTGCTCCCACCTGCCTTTTCTCTTTTTTGTTCTGGTTGTGTGGAGTTGGGTGGGACACGAGTGCTTGGGAAGCAATATGTTTTCTGTCTGCGAAGTACCAGCAGCAGGGACATAATGGGTGCGTGAGCTGGGGCCACCAGCACAGCTCAATCCAGCACTGCCTCTGCCAGGTGGCCCTGCTGCCTACATGGGCTCCACACCACTGGGGACTGCACCCATGGCACGGAGGGAAGAGGAAATCACTGGAATCAGCAAAGAGGCCCACAATGACAGTGCTCAGCTTCACAGACTTTTATTTTTGACTCTGTACAGAACGTGGCTGCAATTGCAATAAGGCATCAAACATAGTATTGAACAGCTCATCATGGACTGTGATGTTTCACCCCGTTGTGGGTCAGAGTTTTAGGAAATTAAACCAGTTGCTTTCTTAGTCAGTAAACCCTATACTCATTGCAGACAGATTTTTTAAAGAATTACAAAGACTAAAAAATCGTAAACGTATAAAAATCCAGCAACAACCCAGTGTAGCTTCTTAGGAGAGTCTTGGGTATTTGTGCCAGGGGCCAGCTTCAGGCTGGCAGGAGCAGCGAGGCTGGTGGGAGACACGCTGGGCACCCACAGCAGCGTGGGGTGGCACCGTGCAGGGACGGCCTCTGCTCTGATGAGCATCCCCAGCAGATGCCATGCAGCTCCCAGTGCCCAGCCTCAGCCACAGCGTCTGACTGAGAAGAAGGAGCTGAGAACACGGGTCAGCAGGCAGCTGTTGGAGCAGCAGCAAGCTGGACACTGGCAGCTGTCACCTCACTGTGGGGAAGCCACTGTTCCCAGTTCAGGGAAGCATGGACACCTCCAACGGGAAGGGAGAGGCCGGGGCTGGGCCCAGCCAGCCGATGTGTCATGAGGTAGAAATTGGGAAAGTGTCATATTTGGCAGTTGGGGCTGGTCAGAAATAAAGTGACTAAGGGCAAAAATCCCGTTCTGTTTCCAGGGTACTCAGAAATCCATACTCACAATCCAAGTATGTTTAGAGGGCACCTAAAACCCACTCAGTATATGCTAAAATTTAATTCCTCAAAAAAAGAGAAAGCTCTCCAATGAAGCAAGTGACAACTTTAGCCCAGGCAATGAAAAAAATACCAACAATTCTCCTCCCATTTGTACCTTTAAAGAATTTAAATTTCGAGCAGGGGAAGTAAAATTGCAAGGGTGCATGAGGGGGCAATAAACGCCACCTTGGCCTTGCCCTTTGGCACCATCTCATGTGAGGTGAATGGTGTGAAGGCCTGACCACTGACCAGTGGGCTCATACATTCATTTCCACCATCAGCCACCAAACAGCGACTGCTTTGGTTTCTGTGTTCAGTTTTACAGAATGAGAATCTGAGAGTCCAGAGGTTTTATAATGCACCGCCAACTCACATCATGCTGCAATTTCTAAAGATGATCAGGGAAATGTCCCAGGTGTTTTTATCTGCTAAATTCCTGTGCTCTGAATGCCTTCCTTCACCTCTTCCATAGTAGACCCTTAGACCAAAATAAAGAAACTCTGTTAGTCCTGTTGTTTAAATTTTATTACTCCTTACACTTCTGCAGTGTACATTTAGATAATCAGGTTGACTAAAGTTTCCTTAAAATTCTCAGGGAAAATTTCAGGGTTCATTAAAGTATTGCAGGTTCATGATCTGTGACAGGCATTTTACAAAGTGTCAGAAAACTTCTCACTCGACAATAACATACTGACAGTCAGGGAAGCTTTCCTTTTTCTAGTGCTAATAATCAGCATTAAGGCATGTCATGGTTCCTACAAGAAATCTGTGATCCATACAGCTTAAGCTGTCATCTTTCTGCAATAATGGAATATACTTCAATTTCATGCATATGTATAATTAAAAAATAAAAATAATAGCTCTCAAAACCACCAGCCTCAGTTTTAGAGCTTCTGTCACGTAGGTGAGAACACGGGGGCAGGCAGGTGAAAGAGTTTTCATTCCCTGGGCTATCTGCCCCCCACACCATCTTGCTGACCCCAGCCCAGCAACACTTGCCCTCTCGCTCAGCATGGTTTTGCCTGGACCTGTGGAGGCCATGGCCAGCCCCATCCCATCCTCAGGGCAGGGTGAGAGGAAGTGCTGTTCCCACCTCCCCACCTTGAGAAAAGTGTCCAGCTCTACAGGCAGTGTCCATGTACCCCACCAGCCACCCAAGGCCAGTAAAAGAGGAACCTTCCTGCTCTGCATCCAGATTCTCAGGCTGATTCCTTCCTCACTTGTACTGATCACAACACGCTGAGGTAGCTTCCAGATATAAGAAGACATTTCATGTATTTATCCTAGAGATTCAATCAGGAATCCCTGGTGACACAGCCAGAAGGATGTAAGCTCTTCAAAGACGACTGTGGAGATGCTGGTAACTGCTGAGTTCCTGCCTGCAAACATGCTGCTTATCATGACATAAACTGGGAGAATCATTTACTGGGCAGCAGCACCCTCTAATAAGGCAGCTCATTTAATTACACGGTAACACTGACCTGAAGCAGTGGTTGGAGCAGAGAACATGTGAAGCACGATCTCTTTTGCAGAGCCAGCGTTAAACCCAGGGTACCTCACTATGGAATTTACTTACCAAAGGTGTGAATCTGGAGCAGAGCAGCTCCTTGGGCTCTTGGTCACGGGCACCCGTGCCAGCACCTGCAGCCAGCAAGCAAAAGGGACTGAACTAGCTGTCAGACAAGTGCACACTAGCTGGGTGCTGCACTTGTCTCCTGACAAAAACAGCCAGAGAATGGGAATGAAGAACCAAGTGGCAAAATGGCATTCAGTCTCCCTGTGAGGAAATCATGGTTTTGCCATCCACTTGTAATTCTGAACTTAGTGCTGTCACATATTACTGAGTAAAGGGAGTATAAAGCAAATCTCCTCACCCCTTCCCAAGAGAACTCTTCTCCTGTGCGTCACAGTGGGGAAAAAAGTATAATTTTAAATATTAAAAATTATTTTAAAATTTAAATTTTAAAAATAATGTATATTCCTGATATTTTAGAGTTAACTCACTACTGAGAAGGCTGTCATAGTGAAGCACATGTTTCTTCTAAGACTGCAGTCAGAGACTGCGCAGACAGAGCTCTTCACCCATGTTTGGCTTTGCCAGGGACACATACATATATAACATACATATACATATTAATAAGACGTACATATATATATGTATTAAGCATTGCTCAGTAAGAACTGACAGAGGTGCATTGAACAATTTTTGTTGGTTTTCCCAGCACTGCAAGAACATATCAGTGTACCCCAGAAATTGGCTGGTAATAAAGCAAATAGCATCAGTGGTACAGGTTTTTGGCAACAGTGCCACAGAACTGAGATTAATAGCAGCATGTACCCTTGATCATCCCCTATGTTGAGTCTCGTGTCAGCCAGTAAACTGCCTGATACTTAACCTCTGTATTTCCTGATGATTTATTCTTTACAAATAAATTGGGTTTTATTGAATGAGTCTCAGAGAGCTCTTTCCTGACCTTTCCTTGCTGGTTATGAGTAGGTTGACAGCCTAGTGATATAAAACTGAAGTTTCAAAAAGAACTAATAAGATGCAGACAGCCCCAGTATAAGCAAAGCCTTACAGCTGTGCTGGAATTTCTTCTGGCATTTGTACTGAAGGAGAAGTGTCCAGTCTTAGTATCCCCATGCTTTTTCAGTCTTTGGGTCTTTTGAGACTCCAAACAAGAGGTCTGTTAATTCATGTTATGGCAGTTTTCATACAAAGACATCTGTCCACCAGGAACTAAACTTCTTTTATATGGGTCACTATAGCTATCAGAAGTTAATGACTATCAATCATTGCTAATCTGAACTGAAATGGAGCCACTGACCTCAAGCTGAAAGAGCCTTTTGTCTCCTACCAGTACCATGAGCCATGTGGTTTCCTGCCCTTGGCCTCTTATTTTATATTCTAAATAATCATCACTAATTGTACAATTGTTTGAAAATATGGGAGGTTTGTGGCCAGTCATGACCAAGTGGTGTTTTCTTCCTATAGCTGTCACTTAATTGGAAAAGGGTTAAATTGAAGAAATGCTTAAAATTAAAGAATAAAAAAGCATGTCTTAATGAAATATTAGCCCTGCTATTTGATTACTGGTCCTGCTTCTTAACATTCTGTCAAGTAGACTGTTAATAATCCTGCAGGCTTCAAAAATTAACAGCTGCCAAAGCATCAAGGTCATTCTTGTTCTATATGGGAGTAATAAGAAAATTATATAGGCAAGACACCAGTGGAATGTTTTATATTAGGATAAACGAGTATCTGAAGAACCTACTTATCACAAATCTCTTTTTATTCAGTGGTTTTCATTATTTTATATCATTTGCATTTCATCTGGCACAGTTCCCCTTTACAACAAGTACTCATATATTGCAAACATTTGATTATAGAGCTTAAGATAACACCATTCTTGTGAGACAAATAAACTGCATCACCAGCTATCTTTAGCTGCATCTGCTTTCTTTAATGGAACATATTTTCCTGTAGAAATGCTGCCTTAAAAATCATGACCACACTAATTATCTATGGCAAGCACATCTTCCTCAACTAACGACAGCTCGAGCATATTATCATTTGCTCCAGACTTCATTCTAAAATTGAAAGATCCATACAGCTTTGCAGACTCCTTGGAGGATGCAAACCTGCTCCTCCGGTAGAGCTCCCCTTTCCACATGGACATCATCAGCAGGCTGGAGAGCACCACGCCCCCCAGGGTTAGGAGACACAGCCCAGCGATAACACAGCGGTCCAAGTGGGCACCGATCCTTGCGCTCTCGTTCTCCAGCCTCTCCATCTCCCGAGCAGCCACGGTGTTGGGATCCACAGTCACATCTCTCGGGACCACATAAGAAATTATCACTAGCAAAATGCCACTAACCAGGAACAAAATGGCACTAATGAATCCATAGTCAACGGATTTCCCAGCTGCTGCCTCCGAGGCAGCATCGTCCTCCTCGGAGACCAAGGAAGGAGAATCGTGCACCCATTCAGGTGGCAGCTCTCTGCAGGAATGCTGCTGCAGAGGGACATCCTGGCCACCTGTAGGAGTGGGGGGACTTCTTGCATGCTCCAGATTTACATTTTCATCCACATAGGTGAACGACGTCTCGAGCTCCTGGGCACAGCAGCAGGCTTTCTTCTTCCCTCCATCCTCTTCCCTGGCTGGGTGGCAGGGCTGGGAGGTGCTGGAGGGTGCAGGGTGCGCCTGGGGTGAGGTGCCTAGGCAGGAGGGCTGGGGTGCCAGGGGGGGATCGGCCACAGGGCCCCTCTGCAAGGGCTTGCAGGGCTGATCACAGTGCAGGGCTGCTCTGGGGTCCACCTCACCCCCCTCACAGTGCTGCTGCTCGTAGGGATGGGAGGGCAGGCTCCAGCCAGTAGCGGTGCCCAGGGGCACCTGTCTGCTCTCCTCAGCCAGGTAGAGAAGCTCCATGCAAGCCATCGACCTTGTCCCCACGAGCCTCACCGCCTGGGCTACGGCATCCTCCAGCAAATGCTGCTCCTGACCTGCAGAAGCGGCTCCACAGTACTGGCGCTGCTGTATCCCAGAAATCTTCTACTTTTTCACCAACGTTTTGTTAGGGACATGGCTTGTGTCAGCTGTTAAATGATTAAACAAATCCTCTCTGACATTCATTTCTTTTCAGTCTGCAAATGAAATAGCAGAGGGGGAAAAACAACAACAACAAAACCGAACCCGACAACCTCACAATGATACATTAATAAACCAAAGGAAGATAACGCAAATGTAATACATCAGCCCTCCTCTCAACTGTTTGAGGGGAGACGGCAAACACGATTGTTTTAACCACGCATTTAAAACTACAATCCTCTTGCAGATCCAAAATCTATTAGGGAATCTAATCAACCTTTGACACCACTATCCAATTAAGGCAGTAAGTATCCACAGACATGGGATAACCAGAAAAACTGTGTAAAATGTCAGAGAAGAGATATGTCTGTTCTTTTAGAAGCACGTAACTCCCATCCCCCCCTTCCAAATAAAGAATTTTACACTCAGATTCACAGACTAATTAGAAAGAAACACGCAAATCCCATGTAGCTCAATAATCCAGGATCTGTATTCTCCGGTGGAAATCTGATAATCCTATGGGAAAAGCAGTGCTTTCCTATATAAGATCTACCATTCATCTAAGAGCTTTTTGGAATGAAATTATGCCTCACAGACTGATGAGTCAAAGACGGATATTACTTCTCATCTGCAATTAATTCGTTATTACCCCTTTCGCCCGGGCCCCATCCCCCTCGAGGCCGCCCGGTGTCACGGGGCGAAGCCTGCAGCCCGACAAATGTGTTGCATGCGTAGGGAACACATGTGCGTCCACAGCACATACGTGATCGCTCACAGCCGCTGCTCACTCACGCTCTTCTCGGGACCTCAGCGAGAGCCGGCCGCGATGGGAAAAGCGATTCCCGCCGGCGCCGGGAGGAGCTGGATCCGCCCGGCACCGAGTGCCCCGAGCGGTGCCGGGGTGAGCAGACACGCACAGGCACACACGCATCCCCGGCGGGCAGAGCACGCCGCCTCCTCCTGCTGCTGCTGCTGCTCCTCCCGCTGCTCCTCCTCTTGCCCGCGGGCTCTCACCTGCCCGGCGCGGGCCGGCCCCGCACGGACACACGGACACACGGACACACTCACCGACCTCCCGCCCGCCTCTGCCTCCGGCCGCGCCGCCGCCCGCGCTGCTCCCAGCGACCCCGGGCGGCCCGGCCCGGCCCGGCCCGGCCCAGCCCAGCCCAGCCCAGCCGGGCTCCGCTCGGCACGCCGGGAGCTGTAGTCCGCGGGCAGCGGCTGCGCTGCTGCGGCAGCGCCCGGAGCCGCGCCCGCCCCGCCGCCCCCGGCGCTCCGCCGCTGCCCGCGGTATCGCTGGCAGGGCTGCGGTCACCGCACCGTCCCCTCCGAGTCCCCGGCCCTGGCACGGGGCCGGAGAGGAGCTTCCGTGCAGCCTTATCCCTGGGTCTAGCTCTGTCATCGTCCGGAGTTGTTTTCCGTACTCAGGGAGCTCCCGACTTACTCCGGGGAAAGGTAAAATCAGATTCTCAAATGATCCCAGACCTGCTGGGGCTGAGACGTCAAGGGATGTACTCTCTGCACAAGACTTACTGGAAAGTCTCAGGAGCTCGCCCGTGTTGGCAGATTGTCCATGCACTTCCTCTGGCTGGCATAAATGACTGTTAAAAAAAAAGACTGTTGCCAAAAAATACATAATAAATGAATGACCATTTCATTTTCAGTATGAATCTTCGCTGAGTTTTCTTGCCAGTGCTTTTCCTTTGCCAGTGTTAGTGATGAACTAGAATATGAAAATAAAGTATGGAGTAGTCTGAACTGAAGGTTTATCAGAGCTGAATATTGTGCGACTGTTCTGAAAAGACCAGGCTCTGGGGAGACAAAGAGCATGCATGGGCAGAGGGACCTTTGTCATGGAGCTGAAATGAGGATGCACACAGGAATTAGAAGTGAGCAGCACCTGCCTGCACGGCTCTTAGGCAGGAAAGCAGAGGCTCAAGATGGAAAGTGAGCTGGGAAGGAACCAGAAGAGACAAGCACGGACTGTCTGAAGGAGTTGTCCTAACATCAGAGAACAAGGTGAATCTCTGCAAGGACTCTGCCACTTCTGAAGCAATGCATTGCTCAGTACTATGGGCTGCTTTGGATATAATTTCAAAGCAGCTCCAGGCAGTGTTTCCATTAGCAAAGTGTGGTTCCAGTGCATTCAATAGTATATTATTCCCTCCTTGAAGAAAAATTGTAATGAGAAAATTATGGAGTTGGGAAAATGGTGCAGGCTGTCCTTGGAGCTTTTTAATAACAGTGGCCTCTTTGAAATAAATAAAAAGGAGCAAATAAAACCTAATCAAAGAAACAAAAAAAGCCTATCTGTAAATTGTTCAAATAGTTTCAAGTAAAAGTAAAGACAGAAACAAACTCTTTTAAGTCTATTGTACATTTCCACTTGGGAATTAGCAGGATAGGAACATACAGATGTTGGGCACTGACACTGCAAGCTGCACCTGCCACATCCGATAGAAGAATCTTAATTAAATGACTGACAGGAAGAAATATAGTGCTCAGCCCTGGCAATGCAGCCTGAAAGAATGTTAACACCTTTCCCGGGCCCCGGCACAGCCCTTGGGTGGGCATTGTCCTTCTGACAGCTGATACAAAGGCAGGAAATTGTCTGCACACAACAAATGGCCATGTTGTCATTCTTTCAAAACCCAGGAGCTACAGCCTGTACTCTTGAGCACTTACTGGAGCCTTAGTTACTTGTTATTTAACCACACAAACATCTTGCTGCTCTGCCGCCCACTCTCCTCCGCATTTTGTGCCCGTGTGCGTTGGGCAAGTATATTAATTTGTTACTGATAATTGCAGTCCCACAAACTATGGAGCAAACAGAGGGAGCCACAACTCTGTCAAGCCGAGTGTTGTCTATTCTTATGTGCCTTCCCCTATGGTGCTGTGTCTCCTTTGCCTAGTGCAGTTCACTCTGAGCTAAATCACTGTCTAGTCACAATTCATATTACTGACATTTCATTTTCTTAAATTTGGATGCAATGAGTTAACAGCATTTTCTTGTAACAAATGTGATTGTTGCCAATGCTCTGAGGTGTGGAGGTGGTGAAATGAATGCATAGCAACACATACTCTGCAAACACAAGTACAGCTGGTGAAAAGATTAATCAAGCAAGGGCGGGAGTAAGAATATTTGTCACAGGAAAAAAAGGGGCTATGTAGAGCTAAAAAACAGAGTGATGGACACACAATGAGACAGGAATAAAAGACTGGAGTAGACTGTCGGGGTGGATGAGCCTTGTTCTCTCTGCTGCAGCCTACCACATCATACAGCCCTTTCAGATACTGAGCAAGGCTATGGTAGCAACAATGATAATATGGAATCTGACAATAGGCTGATAAAGGTGTCTCCGCTGAGATAAATGCAATTAAAATTAAACCATACTCTGGAGCATCTTGTAAGCTCTCTTCAAGTTGGCCCAACTATAAATGAGTGTGTGAACTAGATGTATATGGTTTTTTTCCCTTTCTCAGGAGCCTATGGTCACCATAAAACTGAAAAGAGGCTTGTGAGGAACTGAAAGTTGTTTCACACTTTCTGCTTGAAGCCTCACTGAGTACCAGAATGAACCTGAAGGCTTCAGAGAAACCAGGCAAAACTGGAACAAGTTCTCCAAATGGTGCATCCCATCATGGTCTGGTAGAGGATGGATTTTGAGATATTCTACTTGCCATCACCAATTCAGGGAATTTTCCAGTGTTATATGGGATCCTCAGTGAAGCATTCCCCCAAACATTTTTATTCTTTTCTTCCCCCCTCTCTGTCTTATAACATGTATACAAAGTTCTTTAATGATTTAATTTTCACATACTCTTCAATTCATTGCCTCACACAGTCACAGGACCTCAGGTTTCCAGTAGTCCTTCTGCAAGTGTTGCAAGACTGCAAAGCTTCTAAAATAAAGGTGCACTCCAGCCAGTGTGGCTCAGAGAATAATACATTCAGAGAAGTCTAGAGAGAATATTGCATAAACTTCCCATTTCCACTTGAATAGATCATACTGTTGAGTAAAGTAAATTGGCTAGGGAGCCAATAACATGGGGCTGCAGAAAATTTTAAAACCTATTGGAGAAATACATGAACCTGTGTACTGGTCTGTGAAACATAACAAAGGTAACAGACGGGAATGAAGAGGCAAAGCTAAGTTTATATATAAAGTGCAAAAGAAGAAAGTTATATATTCTCTAAGCCAAAAAAGAATTGCAAGTATTCTGAGGCCAGCAAACAAATATTTGGACAACTCACTATTAAAAAAAAAAAAAATACAACATTTCTGTGTGTTTAAAACACATTACTATGTGTTTTAGATTGATCTATTGATTTATAAAGCAAAAGTAGACAGGAAAGTAATTCTGCTTTGGTTGATTAATTAATGCACATCCATTATGCATTAATAAATGACACTTTTACAGAAATACAAGAAACCATTGACGTGGATATGATATTCCAGAATTTCCACAAGTAGATTAAATCCTTGATAAAGCCCTATGCTTTTCATGTCTGAACACATGAAATTACTGTTTGGGTAAATAGAGCTCCTGAGGATGAACCAAAAGAGTCAGTCTCAGTCTCAGAGCAAAGGATCATCTGGAGGAACACAAGACTTTTACTGATCCTGACCAGCCTCCCTGTTTCCCCCCTCAGGAGCTCATACTCAGACATTTTCCCTTCTGAATCCCTGAGCAACTGAGCCCCCCTGTGTCAGCAGGCCTATGCTTAGCTGGACCTTGATTGTTCTGCTGTCCTGCTGACTCTCTCAGCTCTTTCTCAGCAGTCTGGGCTCAAGTTGCTGTTGCAATTATGTCAAGACAGACTGTACTGGCATCACTGCCAGTTCTTTATTAACAACTTTTCATGCCTTCTTTCTGACGACTCTGACTCCTTTTCTTATAGGCAGCCCCACACAGCACTGACTCCTCTCCTCTTTGCAAGTTTCCTTCTACATGACTGGCTAAACCCCAACCTGTCCCTTTCCTGGCTGCCTTACCCTGTCTATCCCTTGCACGACCACATGTCCCTTCCTCCTCACAGCACAGCCAGCAGACTCCATCCCAAACTGCAGCAAACTCAGATCTCAAGCCCCAACTTGAACTGCAAGTGTAATTTGTGGCCAGCTAACCCACTCCTTTTATAACACCCAAGCCCATTGGGCAGGCACAGATGTTTCCACTCCTCAGTAATCAGCACAGCTGTAATTCATCAGGAGACATTGCCTTCTGTACTATCCTTTCCACCTATCTTCCCACATATCTTTCCACAGGGTGCACAGTGGGACGTGGCTGAGCTGGCCCTGCTGTGCCCAGAGCAGACTGGCTGCTGGGTGCCAGGTTCCTGGGTACCACTGTGAGTGCCTAAGCTTTGGAGCAGTGGGCTGGAGGAGACACCTCCTGCCTCCCTGTGTGCCTCTGGAATGCTGAGCAATGAGCTGTGTGGTCTGAGGGAACCTTGACAGAGCCCAGACAGCTTCTCCTTGCTGTGGGCCTGGGGTTGCCATGTGTCCCCACAGGTTTCTGCCCACTGATGGGGAAATACCAGCACTGTGCTGTCACCATGCTGTGAGAGCCAAAGTTGCCATTTTTTTCCCACTGTGG